CTATTAACTATTAATCATCAACTATTAATTTTTAACTATTAACTATTTTACTATATACTTTTTATATATTTCTTTACTATATAATATAACTTTTTTACTATATATATTACTGTTAGTTAATAATTAATAGTAAAAGAACTTTTTTACTACATATACTACAACTTTTAGTTAATAGTTAATAGTAAAAGAACTTTTTTACTATATATACTACAACTGTTAGTTAATAGTAAAAGAACTTTTTACTAAATATACTACAACCGATAGTTAATAGTTAATAGTAAAAGAACTTTTTTACTGATATACTACAACTGTTATACTACAACTGTTAGTCACTCTAATAACTATTTAGTGTCACACAATGTCAAACTCTAGGACTATCAACTATTTAGCATACACTATGTCAACCTTGCTAGTACTATCAATTATAAGCTATTTAGTATCACACAATGTCAAACTATAGTACTCTACTTCAGTACTCTACTTTAGTACTACTCTACTTTAATAATTAATAGTAAAAGAACTTTTTTACTATATATACTACAACTGTTAGTTAATAGTTAATAGTAAAAGAACTTTTTACTATATATACTACAACTGTTAGTTAATAGTAAAAGAACTTTTTTACTATATATACTACAACTGTTATACTACAACTGTTAGTCACTCTAGTACTCTCAACTATTTAGCATCACACTATGTCAACCTTGCTAGTACTATCAATCTCACAATGCTAAACTATCTAGTGTCAATCACACAATCAACTATCTAGTATCACACAATGTCAAACTCTAGTACTTTCAGCTATTCAGTATCACATAATATCAAACAATCTAGGACTATCAACTACATAGTATCTCACTGTATCAAACTATCTAGGACTATCAACTACGTAGTATCTCACTGTATCAAACTATCAGGGACAATCAACTACTTAGTATCTCTGTGTCAAACTATCTAGTACCATCAACTATTTAGTATCGCATTGTCTAACACAAAATCCTAACTTTAAGTTAAGAGACAAATCTCACAAAAATTAACCACCGGTTGGACACTCTCGTTGCTTAAATAAAATATCAGCACTGAAAACCAAAAATTTGACACTCAATTTGTTTAAATAATAGATTGTTTTATTTTGAATCTAAAAACAATTTTTAAATAAAACAAATTTTAACAAATAAAAAAACAAAACAATCAAAACACATCTTAAATACAATTGACAAACAAAAAAAATTGCCGAAAAAATAAAAAAAATAAAAAAATTACAGCAAAAAAACAAAACAACTTCTAAAAAATACTCATTACTTTCTTTACTTCTCTAAACACACACTATTTTATTTTTGGGATATTTCGTCATTTTTAATTAAAAACTAAACACAACGCCAAACACAGCAAAATTCAAAGCTGCGGACAAACAAACAGACAAAGCATTCTAAAATTTAATATAGGATTATTAAGATTCAATTTTAAATAATTTTTAGATTTTTAAAAAATTACAGTTTAGATACATATAGTAATTACGTAAATTTATTTTTGCAATTTATTTTTAGTTAAAAGTTTTGGAAGTTAAACACAAATCACATACTTTAGTAGATAATTAGAGTAAAATGAGCATGTCTGGTAATTTCGGCAGCCTGCGATTTTTTTAAATAGTGAGTGATTTGGACTAAGGTTAGCGGTTCCGGGTATCCGGAACGAAAAACCCCGGATATCCGAAAATTTTCGTTACGGATACCGGTTCCGGATCCTGATATCCGGAGATTTCCCAGAAAACGCCATCCTTAATTTAGACAATAAACGTTTTAAAATAATAATTTTGTTCCTTTTAGATTCCACTACACTCTGAAATGTTGAGCAAACTTGATTTTCATATCACAATATAAAAATCTCAAGTAGGAATAAAAATGTATTATTCTTCCGCTTCTGTAAATGATTCTGCCTTTAAACTTAGCGATCCGCCAGCCAATTTTTATTTTCTCCGCTTTATTCTGCCTTGCGCTTTATTCTGCCCCCCCCCCATTTATTAATTTCAAAATCAATTTCAAATAGCCCTGCCTGCCTATTGAGATGTGGATAAATAAAATCGTTAATAGAGGGGAGAAGGCATGCGTTTCCCCATCCCCCAGGGATGGAGGCATGCGTTTCACTCTCATTTATTCAACAAACCTTGCCTTAAAATTTTTTTAAATAAAAAAGTTATTGATCAATCTTGGTTTTGGGTTCAAGTTTTTGTTCATTTTAGATTCCACTTCACTCTGGAATGTTGAGCAAATTTGATTTTTATATCCAATATAAAAATCTCAAGTAGGAATACCGCTTCTGTAAATGATTCCGCCTTTATGACTTAGCGATCCGCTAGCCGATTTTTAGTTTCTCCGCTTTATTCTGCCTTGCGTTTTCATTTGTTTCCCACCTCCCCCCTCCTCATTTATTAATTTCAAAATCAATTTCTCATAGCCCTGCCTGACTATTGTGATGTGGATAAAATCTTTAATAAAAAGGGGGGGGGGAGGAGAGGCATGCACTTTGAATTTTTCCTCTCATTTATTTGACTATCCTTGTCTTAAAATTTTTTTAATAAAAAATATTTTTAAATAAAATGTCTTTTAAACAAATTTAAATGTTTAAAGTTTGATTGGGAAATTTTTATTAAGAAAGCTTTTAGTTTTATTTAGAGTGGCCGTTTCCAACACCCTAGAAAATAAGGCGCAGTTACTCAAAAATGGGACAAAAAATAGGAGCACCATTTTAAAAATTTTAAATTAGGTAATTAAAAATTCAAATAATTCAGAAAACTTTTTATCATTTTTTCTAATAATGATGTTATTTTTCCTTTCGGCGCTGAGGCGAAAATTTTGAAAAATTTATAAGGCCAACAAGCCAGATTTCTTCCTTTTCCCTATTTTGTTTATAACAGACTAGGACATGGATACTGATTTTGATATCCGTATCCGGATATTTACGGCGGATATCCGCAGGCATTTTGGTATTATCTGTATCCATATCCGTATCCATGACCATGTCTGGTTTATAAAGTGTCGAAATTTTAAAAATATTAAAAAATGATAAAAATAAGGAAAAATTTGGCCTTTTTGAGAATTACTATCTTATAAAAATTTAATATTTTTTTAGAAAATGTGGTTACTATTTTTATTATTAATTGCTTCAAACACCTTTTATAAAGATGTTGAACCATTGTCTATATTTTTAAAGATAGACTGGATAGAAGTTAAAGGAAATAAATTTGAGTATCCCCATCATTTGACAGATGAAACAAAGGAACGTTTTGACCTGAAGTTAACAGAAACTTCCAAAAGTTATCCAAATGTTAGTGGATTTCCAACGACAAACGTGTTTTTAGGAAAAACTGACGGATATGATGTTTACCATTTTAACGAAAATGTAGTTGAAGAGCATCTTAGCGTTCGCAGTAAATATAAACTTCAAGTCTCCATTCGTGGGCACGATGTTTGTAGTATAAAATATTTAAATAATTTTAAGGAATACAATAATTATACCGTATATACTGTATTTATTACCCTCCCTCAAATAATTACCCCACCTGCTTTTATTACCCCCTTTAGCAAGAGATCGAAACAATAATTACCCTCCCTCGAATAATTACCCCCTATTTTTCTAATCTAATTTTGAAAATATTGAAAATATATCGGGAACCCGACTTAAAATCAAGATCGGGATTTTGGAATAACAACCCCGGTCACGGCTACGGTATCGGGGTTGGATTTATATTTCGGTCTTGGGATTAGAAAAATCGGGATTCAAAATATACCAGGGATAATCCCTCACGATCCCGTCCGGGGACCCGTCCCACTCAACCCTATTTTTTAAGCGTATAAATTAAAATTAATAGACATTTTTCATTAATTAAATTTTTGTTGAAATTATATTAATTTATAATTTTCAAATTTATTTATCTGCCTTTATGGCATATATAATAAAATTTATTGATGCGAATTTTATTAATATTGTCTTAGACTTGCTAGAAATCTTAAACTAGAAATTTGAGCAATTTTCATTCGGCAAGATGGCATATTTTTGTTGAAAATATGCCCTTCCTTGCTTTAATTTTGTTTAGATACTATATCAAAAAATTTTAGATAATTCCACCTATAATGGTGGAAAACAATTCGATAGTCTATGTTGTTCTTCATAAAGACATTGCAAAATATAAAATATTAACAAAAAGCAACGAAAAGGATTTTGATAAAATTATAAATTTATTTAAACATCCTTTCCGTTCTTTACAATTTTTTTGGAAAACACGCGGAGAAACTCAATATAAAATTCGTGTTGAATGTGCAAATGGGGAAAATGGACAGAACTTTTTTGAATTAAACGGATACACACCGGTGGATGAAAAAATTACTAAACATTCGTTTAAAAAGTATAAATCTTTATGTGAGAGAGTACAGATATGTCCTGACAATTTATATATTATATCCAAACAACCTTTGGTAAATTTTCAAAAATTTAAATCCGGCTTTTAAAAATCCGAACCTTTCTGGCTTATCGACATTCATAGTCAAGACTCAAGACCAAAGGTCTCGGCAGTCCCTATTGTTTTTAACAAATTTGTGGATTTTTGAATCCCAAATGTCTTGGCATTATTTTGCAGCAAATTAGTGTTGAATTTAAATTTTAGAAAGCAAGGAAAACTAAGCCTGTGAAGAAAGTTGTGACGTGCATTTCGGCTAGAAATGAGAACGATATAAACATTTATGAGTTAGGTTTTGGAACAAGACTATTAAAACCTACCTGCATATTATTAAACAATTCTGGACAAAATAAAAGAGTAACGAGAATTTCTGATACTAAAAACAATGCGAAAGAAGAATTTCAATATAACCCAAGTTCTAAAGAATCTGAGGCAAATAGAATTAGAAAAATTTTTGCACCAAACAATGGAGGTATGTAAATCGGGACGGGGTGCCATGCGTCTGAGGTTTTGCGTGTTTTATCACTTGACACGCTAAACGTCAATATTTTACATTCCTAATGATGGAAATTTTTAAAATAGACCTAGGGATAATGGAAAATTTTGCAATTTTTACCGGATTAAAACAGGACTGGGCAAGCACTAATAATTTGTCTTGAGCAACAATCTTAGGTATCATATCGGGATTTTACAAAAAACATTCGTATTTTACATCTTTGAACGGAAATCAAATAATTTTTCAAATTATTTGATCAAATATTCGATTTTCCGACGTCAAATATTTGTTTGGTCAGGTCTTTCTAATCTCAAAAAGTGATTAAATAAGTGAGATTCCGCCTTAATAATTTTTAACTCAGATTGGAAAGAATCAAGAATCATCAATTATAAAAAGAATGGTAAGTAGCAATTTTATTATTTATTAGAGTTTCACTGGAAGTTCCTGTTCAGGTTCCGACTGGAACCAAGAAATATCGCCGGTCCAAATATCGCTTCCGCTGAAACACTATTATGTAATATGACATGTTGACCATTTTAACTCATTTAAGAGCATATTTTAATTAAAACTACTTGAAAATATGAGAATAAATAATTTTAGCTAATACAATATTTTAAATATTAAAAAAAATTTTATAATTTGAAAGTGTCGCCCTAATTAGTCATTGTCTTCAATTTTATAAAAATTTAAATGTATTCTATCTAATCCACATTTTATGTCAGATCCTGCTATGGATTATAAGAAAGAAAAAATTACCAAACTTCTCTATTCAAAGTTTAATGAAGGAAAAGGCGAAGCCCTTGCAGCCGATGAAGTCTGTTATGCATTTGATCAGGATGTTATGTATGAGGAGAAAGTTAGAAATCAGTATTATAAAAAATTCAAAAAAAGAAAAATGACTTGTGACAATGATCAGACTGGTGAGCATAAAAAACGGAAATCTGCCAAAAAACAGAAGGTTTCATAATATTTTTCCCAAAACAATTCGAAAACTCGACCCGACATTCGACATTTTTTTACGAAATTTTATTACATAAAAGGAAGAATTTTTTAATCACTTTTAACTCCATATACAACTTAATCAACTGTATCCCTCTTAATCCCCAACCTTTCCGAAAAATCTAGCTTCATGTTCAAATTTTTAACTGACCCGACCCGAAAGCCGGACATTTTTTCGACCCGAACCCCGATTTGAAGATAATTTTGAAAAACACTTAAACAAAAACATAAAACTGAAACAACTCGTTTCATATCATGGATGTCACGGCTACTTTTTTTTCTCCAGATACTTTTTTTCTCACCCCGTGATATCCCTGTTTCATATTTTTAATTGAGGTAAATAAGCCTGTTAATTTTGGACATGCTATTCAAGACGGCAGCGGGAATTACAGCAAAGAGGAAGTATCTAATTCAACAAACGAACATCGTGAATTTAATTCGGTGTCTTCTCATACTAGTAGCAACAAAAATGCTGAAACTAATCAGGAAACGAATATTCCCGCTAATTTTTTCGAAGGATTGGAAGATTATTTGAAATCAATTGGTATAGACAAAGAAGATATTTATGCGTTTCTAATACTGTATATTTTTAGATAAAGTTAACGCCGAACCTAACGATTCTATTCCTGAAAGCGAATTCAGTACTGACAGTATTTGGAATGAATTAAGTAGCATGACAAATATAGCATCTGAAAACAATGCGATATCCGACAGTGAATCGACCACAAATGTTAAAAGTAAGGATAACATTAAAGGTAACATGGAGCCAAATGAAATGGGGGAACATAATCTGAACTTTGACTGGAATACTGATGAACCTCAAAACCTGGGTAAGTTTTATTTTTACCTGCTAAAATGGCCAGTCTTTTCCGATTCTATTAAACTTGACAAAATTTACAGTTTCTTAACTTGTTATACTATTCTTTAGATAAGTTTTGAATAAAAATATAATTTAATTCACAATACAGATACAATTTACCCTCATCATTAGCAAATGCAAAAAGAAGATTCGACACACCATTTAAATTCTATACAATGATGAGTAGGGCCTGACAAAATATGCATGCCTTGTATGCGGATATGCATTGAAGTGGGAAGCCTAATTATGGTGTTTTTACGTTGGTCGGAGCAATTTAGGACCCTGTTCTTAATGCAGATATTTGCATATTTTGATACTTTTGTGCATATTTTGTCAAGCCCTAATGTAAATTTCAAATGTAAAATCGAAAACCGCGATTATTGAAAAGCCTATGATTTTAAATTGTACTCAAAGAGTATTGGAATTTTAGTCACTGATACAAATGTATCACAGTAAAACTGTAAATTATTTATTCCCCTCAATTATAGTGCGTTGCAAAATTATAAGAACAGGCCAAAAACACGCAACACCACATTTATTTATAAATTTTTAGAAATTTTCTACAGTGTTAGTCAGAGAAACAGGAGAATTTGGAGTATTCTTATAATTTTGCAACGCATCTTAGAGTTGGCCAGTCCCAATCGTGATCGGGCGGGATTATCCCGGTTGGTTGAATCCCGTTTTTGGCTGATTCCGAGATCGAAAGAGAAATTCCTATCCCGATTTCGAGCAACCCCGATCGGGGTAATTATTCCAAAATCTTAATCCTGAGTTTATGTCGTTATCACGATACTGACCACCTCTATATGTACTCTTTTATCGCTATTATTCAACTTTTTTATATATTTAAATTTAAATATGTACATATATTTAACATATTATATTATTTAACGTTATTTTAACGATTATAAATTATGTTTTATTTTGTATTAAAGATCGAGTATAACCGCATAGGTGTGCTAGGTTTGCATAGTTGTGTTATGGTTGTATTAGGTTTGTAAACTATTGTAAATAAGCATTTTTAATTATGCTCGCCGACTCGTCAAAAGTTTGGATAAATACTTACACCTGTATAAGTCAAAAATTTCTTTTACGATACCGATACTATCAGTTAGTAACAAATGAATTATCTCTGTGAATAAAAAGTAAAGATTTCCAAAAAATGTAATAATAATGATTGGACATCTTTAAAGCTGATTATTCTAAAGGTGTACGGAATTTTGGTCACTGGAATTTTGGTCACCAAGATTTTTCGGAACTTTGGTCACCAATTTTTTCGGAATTTTGGTCACGAGCGGAATTTTGGTCACCAAGTCAAAAAACGGAATATTGGACACTGAAAGTTTGGTCACCAATGGGAATTTTGGTCACCAAACTGAAAAAAAGAATCTTATCTAAAACTGATATCAAAGTTAAAAAATATGATTTTTCAACCCCCAGTTGATCAATTTCAATGGTTATCACTTTCCCGGCTGATCACTCTTTCGGTTGATCACTCTCGATCACTCTCCCGGATGATTGATTAACTGGCAGAGTGATCAACATTGAAATTAATAAACTGGGGGTTGAAAGACAATATTTTATCACTTTAATATCAGTTTTAGATAAGATTATTTTTTTCCGTTTGGTGACCAAAATTCCCAATGGTGACCAAACTTTCAGTGTCCAATATTCCGTTTTTTTGAATTGGTGACCAAAATTCCGCTAGTGACCAAAATTCCAAAAAAGTTGGTGACCAAAGTTCCGAAAAATCTTGGTGACCAAAATTCCAGTGACCAAAATTCCGGCACCCATTCTAAAGGTTAAAATCCAATCGGTTCTATCTCAGGGCATGCGTCCCATGAACTTTTATGCGTCCCATGAAAGTATATGCGTCCCATGCAAGTATATGCGTCCCATGAACTTTTATGCGTCCCATGAAAGTATATGCGTCCCATGCAAGTATATGCGTCTCAAAAATTTTATAAGCGTCCCTTCAAAATATATGCGTCCCAAAATTAATATATGCGTAAAACAATTTTGAAAACATTTTTTTATTTTATTAATGACAATTAAATATTAGTCCTTTAACTTGGAGCTAATAATTCTGCTGGTAATTTACACTTACGCTTTAAAAATTTACTTAATATAAGGCCTTGGTTTACATTTTTCAAACGGTCCTGTTTGATTGATTTTAACATAGATGGGAGTTTATTTGAACATTTACGATATGTAAATGCTGAAAATGTTGAAGCGGATCAAGCATCATTAGCGATGGCTGGGAAGCGTATGGAGGTTTAAATCACCTCCGGTCATGGGACGCATAAACTTTCATGGGACGAATAAAAGTTTACCCCTATATTTAGTTTTTCTTAAAAAATTTTTTAAACAAAGAATTTCTGTACATAAGTATTTATACATTAGGAAAATAGAATTTGACAGTTACTAGATACTAGTAAAATTTAATTTTTTTGTATTTTTGTGTTTTTCTGTGTTTTTTTTTTTTGTGTTTTTTGTTTTGTTGCGAGTTTTTTTTGTGTTTTTTGTGTTTTTGTGTGTTTTTTTGTGTTTTTTGTGTTTTTTTGTGTTTTTGTGTTTTTGTGTGTTTTTTTTTGTGTTTTTTTGTTTTTTGCGTTTTTTTTTGTTTTTTACAGAATTACCCAAAAAATCACTTCTAGCCTTTATTGGCCACCACTAACTCCAATAGAATTCAGAAAATTTTCGACAATTGTTGTTAAATTATCTAATTTCAAATATTTAACTTTAACTTCTTTAGACATTTTGTTAAACGGTGATTTATTGAAAACATTAATTTTTTCTTTTATAGCCTTTTTAACAGTGCCAAGAAAAATGTCAATTTGTCCATATTCAGGAGCTCTTTTAATTGCATTTTTAATTTGCAAAGCATTTTCTTTATACGCATTTTTGCTAGAAATTTTTAAAATTATTTTTAAGATTGATATAATTTATTGGAATTCTATTAGCTCACAACCTCGCACATATTTTCACCCCCTACCCTTAACCACTAAGGTTGAGAATGCTGATATCCGGATCGTAAAAAGGCAGGATATTCTGAAATTTTCGTTTGGATATCGGATCTGATTCGAATATCCCAAGATTTCCAACTATCCGATAACCACCCCTTGCAACAACCCTTACTTAATCGACATACCGCTCCGAGAATAAATGTCGTAAAGATTAAAGAAATGCTTCTAAATTTAGACTTAATTTTTATAAAGTAAAGCAGCTGGGCTATAGCTATTTCTCTCCTCTAGCTAGTGCAAAAGGTTAATCGGCGGCTGGGAGCGAACCACCATCTACAGTAGACCGGACGGATGTGTTATCCATTACACCACGCCGCCTACTTAGGAATATATGCTTTACATATCTATATGTAAACATACAACATTTTTCAATTTCAAAATAGCTCACCTCATTATAGCATTAAATGTGCGTTCAAAATTTGTAACAAAATCTTCAACTGTAATAGAAACCCCAATTCCCAAATATTCAGCAAGTGTAGCGTTGAATGGTTGGTCTCCAAAGAAAGGAAGTACAATTATAGGAATACCTGCTCTGAGAACCTGAAATTAATTTAATATTCAAATTTGTCTCAGTAATTTCATAGAAGATTGTTCGAAGGCTAAATTTAAAAAAAGCACTAGAGTTCATCCAACTAGAGTACTGTAGGATAAATTGTTCCTAGAAAATTTTAAGTTTCGGAACAAAAAATGTCAATTTAGGCTTTTTGACGAATAATGAGTTTTTAATGTTTTTATCAATGTTGGAAGATTTTTTGTAAACATATGTTCTTTAAAAAATTAAAAAAATTTGACAATATAGTATGAGAATAACCAAACTACAAAGTCTAATTGAGAATAGACCATGTAATGCACTTATAAGGAGATTTTAATATCTTTATCCAAATATTACCTCGTTGAAACTATTTTGTCCGCCATGAGTTATAAAAAGTTTAACATTTGCTTTTTCTGTAAAAAAAGGTTTTAAATTTACATGAATATTTTTAAAATAAAAAAATGATACTTAAATTCTCGGTAATAAACTCGGAATAATTAAATTAATATATAAAAAATTTCACGTTTTTACCTAAAATTTCACGTTGTTTAATCATTCCATTATAAAAGAGAATTTTGTTGGTGTGGTAATATGCTCCGTTTTCGAATATTTCATTCAAAAAAAATTTGTCTGTAACTCGAATTAGATGATTACATTCAGATTTTGAAAATGTTCTGGTTAATGTATCATAATGCTCCTCAGTAAATCCGTCAAAGTTAACTCCTGTTCCCAATGAAAGCAAAACAACACACTCAGCCGGTAAATATTATTTTAATGCTAGATTTTCCTCCTTTTATGCCAAAAGGATTATACCCGAAGGTATCATCTTGACGCCCAGCCATTATTCCCGCCTTCTATTCTTCCCGTTTCATGCCTCCCGTTTTTAATATAACATCTTATTAAGCCAGTGTGACCCTTTCAAGATCACCAAAAGGGGACATGGCCTCTCAAAAAAGGGGAATAAAGGGGGCAAAATTGGCCAAAAAGGAGGCCAAAAAGTGGGCATTATTATAAAAACTTAAAAATATGTTCGAATGTTAAGCCCAAATTTTCATATTTTTAACTATAGTTTAACGCAAATGAACGAATCAGGATCAGAAATAAAGAGATAATATCGCTGAAAGAAATTAAACTAAGGATTTTTTCCGGATTTTTCAAATGGGATCTATCTATAGCTCATTTCATCTCTCTTTTAGCGCAACAGGCGATTTTGGAAGGCCAATTCACCTGATTTCTCGCCACTCTTTTTTAAGAAATGGTCAAAAAGGTGGCAAAAAGTTGGTATGTAGAAAAGAGGGAAAAGGGACGCGAAAAAAAGAGAGAAAAAGGGGCACCCTAAAGTTGGTTAAAGGGTCACCCTTGATTAGGCCCAAACCTTCAATCCCCAAGGCCATCTAGTGTCCAAAAAAGTCTAAAATTGAGATCCTATTTTATATTTAAAATAAATATTTTCTAATTAAAAAAACTAGAAACTCCATAAATCCAATTCTCCTCTTTTTCATTTCTAGGAAAATATCCTCCCATTTGATTACTACTTTCTGGAACATCTTGTTTCTGTTCAGATTCTTTATTTTTCCTTATAAACTCTTCCATTTCATTTTCAATACCTCCAATATTTACAATTCTTTTAGACATTTTTGTATCAGAATATTGTCCAATTGGGTGAACATTAATTAAATAATAACGAGATTTTCTTAATAAATCTCCAATTTTTGGGATTTCAGAGGAAGTTTTAAGCATATCTTTACATTCCTTTTCTGTAATACTTCCATTTATCTTCAATAATTCAAAATAAGATTTTTCCCTCTCTTTATAAAACTTAAGGAATTTATTTATAGATTCCTTATATAGCTTGGCATTTGAATTGTTCGCTATGGGACCTGGTATTTGCAAATCATTACCATTTAATCCTTGTCCTGGTTCGGCGTGGAAACGTTCTATAAATTGGTTTTGTTACTTTATTTAGTGATAATCAAATTTTATGATAATTTTGTTAAGGGCTTATTCAGGGGTTTTATTTTTTACTCAAACAGCGTTCGGGAGTTCCATATTTTTTAATGTCACCTTAAAGAGCCGCTCGGCAACTGTCCAAATGACTCCCACACTTGTTTGCAAAGAGCTCTCAATTAGGGAAGATACGGTATTACAGTTAAATATGTATTCTAATCGGGGATAAGGCGAGTTGAGTCCAAATGTTGGGTTTCGCCCATATCGGGACTAGACTTTGTAATAACACAAAGGCCATTATTTTCAGACATAGCCAGTTATCCCTTTCCTTAAATTATAAACTTGCCAGGTATTGAAGAATAAAGTTGATGACCAAGAAAATGCAAAAAAACTGGAAAAGGGCTAACTGTTGATGTTGCTATATATTTTTTTAACCCAATTTGTTCAAATAAAGGAAATGCTCCAGTCATTACAGAATATTCAGCCATTCCCAAATCGAAAAATTTTTCTTTAACTTTTTGCTTGAGCCAATCAAAAATTTGGACATTTTCTCCATTGATCTCAACCGAGGGGTTATCAATTATGGCTAAAATATTTAAAATTTTATTGTTAAAATAATATCCTGAGTTCATCGTTTAAGAAGATTCTCCACCCAGAGGCCGACCAAATTTTATCAATTTTAGTGTACCTATATCTTATGTTAGCAAAAATTACTCAAAGAATGCAGAATCCTAGCGGTTTATTTTCTAATTGCTTAGAAAGAAGCCTGGGCGAGAAAAAAGAGCCTGGGCAAATCCCCCAGAAAGAAGCCTGGGCAAATCCTTTTATAAGTTTGAAACAACTTACTTTTCAAATTTAAATAAACCTCAAATCTCTCACTAGACTTACCGTATTTCTTGTATTAGAATGCCACCCTCTATTTGAATGCCACCCTATAATAGAATGCCACCTTGGAAGGTGATTGAAAAATAGAATGCCACCCTTTAATTGAATGCCACCCTTTATTAGAATGGCACCCATTTTTATGCCGAAATTTACCTAATATAAAAAGATATCCCATCCAAAGATGTTTCTATTGACTTTCTCTTATTTTATTGCCATTTTGGATTATTATGCAATTCGAAATAGCAAATCCAAGATCTCTTAACGGGATTTTAAAAATGTCAAACGTGAGTTAAAAAGTTTACTTAAAAATTTTTACATATAGATATCAGGGATGGGGCCCGATATAATTCACAGATATCATGGATCGAAGGATTAAGATAAACTCAGAGTTATAGAGAGATCTTATATCCTCTCTAACTCAGAGTGATAGAGAGGATATAAGATAGAGGGGTACTTAATCTATATCCTAGTCCTTAATATAATATCCATATCCTCATAATCGCTTGATATTTCCTTTACTCCTGATATTTCTGATAATCCCTTGTAGAATATTCAATATTATTTCAGAGAATTTTTACGATTTTACTTATCGGAATGGTTTAAAAATTATCGAACTTTTAAAATTTTCTCATCGAACAATAGAATGCCACCCTCTATTTGAATGCCACCCTCTATTTGAATGCCACCCTTGTAGGTGATTGAAAAATAAAATGCCATGGCATTCTAATACAGGAAATAGGGTATTCATATTTCCGATTTCCGTAAATTTAAAAATAAAGCCCCTGAAGGATGTAAAATAAGTCTTGGAGTAAATTCGCCAAGACTAATTTTAAATTCAAAAACCTTTATGAAATGAAAACATGTAAAAGCCAATAAATTTGAAAAAATTAAATTCATCAAATGGTTGTTTAGGTAGCCAATTTGGTGCATTCGACATTTTTATAAAACCTTCGTCATAATCAAGATCATCTTGATAGGTGATCTCAATAAAATGGACCCCTTCCAAAGGTTTTGGTTTTATTTCTCCATCATCGTATTTGACAACGACAAAATACTGAAAAAATTATTAGGAAGTATTGAAAAATTCTTAGGTGTCGGCGATATTGTAAGATTCATCTGATAGCTATAGGACCCTATTATCTTCCTAGCTGAGGTAATTTTCAATAACTAACAAATTAAAGTCAGTTTTATGTTTAAGCCAATCGAATATCCAATTGTTGGAATCCAATACCCATGTAATACTAATTAATTACTTGACTGAGACGAGTTAAGTATCACATGTCTAGGATAAATTATGCATGATCTCAAAAGCAAAGCAGTTTTAGTGGGGGTAATTACAACTATTTTTTGTTTTTTTGGTAGTTTTAAAAATATTCATATTTAATAAATTTTAAATTTACCACGTCATATCCACCCTTCAAATTTAAAACATTGGCCATGTTTACCTGAATTTTTTAAAATTTTTAATTTTTTTTAAAGAAAAAATCTTTGCCATAACAAAATGTTAAGATATTGTATGATGAAAAATATTTGAAAAGGTTTAGCAAGTTTTTTAAACAACTCAATTAGCTAAGAAAAATCGGATTTGCTTTAAAAATTTTTGGAATTTTGGAACTTATGGAACCTTTTGCAACTTTTTCAATGACGCGACCATTTTTTCTGCGCGTAAAAATTCTAGAGACTGAGAAAAGAAGCGGTTGATGCGTTAATCAGCCAAATAAAAAATATTTATACAAGATATCGGCAAAATCGCAAGTCTGGGATCTCTCTTAATTTTTAAAAGCCGAACTGAACGGGTCTCTCGGAATTAATTTCTTAGATACGGTAATCCCATTTATCTCAAAAAATCATTTAAATACTTACAGCAAAATAGTAATGACTCAAAAATTTATCTACTAGAAGCAAAATTTTCTTCTTAGCTCCTTGTTTACTTTTAGAACCTGCAGGCTTCAGTATATTTATCAATTTTTTCAAGTTAAAACCCTTTGAACTTTTTGAGCTTTCACCCGGTTCAAGTTGAGACTTCATCGAATCAACACCAAACTCTAATAATAGAGCGGAAGCGAAAAAGAAGGTAGCCAACCAAATTAGGTTGACCATTTTTTCTAATAAAATGTTTAAAATTTTTAAAAGTATATATCATAAAGCTGAAACGACTCAGCTTTTTTAAATTATTTTTAAGGGGGACCAAGATAAGAGACTTTCTCTTTTCAGGGAAACATCCTAGAGAGTCTGCTTTCATGAAATGGTCTCCTTTCAGGAGAGTTAGAGTTTGCCTGTTTTTAGGGAGGCACTTCTAATCCTCTTTTAGGGAGGCACTCTTATGAAGTGCCTCATTAAAGTTATTTTAAAGACTGATTATAGCAATAGACTAATAAAAATTAAAAATTTAAAATAAATAAATGAATAAATAAATTTATTTAATAAATTTAAATAATAGCCAATAACGGCAAGCACGCATGTCAAGAGCGCATGTCCCCATGTCTAACGTATGTCTCCTCAATGCCGTTGTCTTGCGTTTTGCGCAAGAAGATAGCATTCAAATGAAGGAGAGACAAAATCGCGTCTCTTTATTTTAATGCTATTTTCTTCCGCAAAACGCAAGACGCTTGTATGTAAACACGGCATTAGCGCTTCTATCCTGCCTGTACGTTGTACGAAAAGCTAATCAATTAAATAAAAATTTAAAATAAATTCTTTAAAATTCGACTGCCATAGAAATCAAGACAAAATATCACCTTTAAATAAATAATGTTTGGGTATTATTCTGGATTTTCATATGGTGATTGTCTGGTGATAAAATGTTGTAGAGAGCACTAGGTATTAAAGAGAAGAGATAGGAAATCGGAATTGATACAGGTAACCCTATAAATTTTGGGATTTCTTTTTTAATTTCACAAAACCGCAGCTCCAGATTTGATTAATAACGCTTAGTTACGGTATATTTAAACTAATTTCAAATTATAATCAGTTTGAGATTAATTTTATCTCTTTGTTTTACTTTATCCTATGGATATGGCTGAATATCTTAGAAATTTTTAAATAAATAGAATTTTTTAATTTAAGTTGATCAATTGGGTTGAGGGGATAGTAGAGGGGATATGTAGAGGGGATATGTAGAGGGGATATGTAGAGGGGATATGTAGAGGGGATATGTAGAGGGGATATGTAGAGGGGATATGTAGAGGGGATATGTAGAGGGGATATGTAGAGGGGATATGTAGAGGGGATATGAGAGGGGATATGTAGAGGGGATATGTAGAGGGGATATGTAGAGGGGATATGTAGAGGGGATATGTAGATGGGATATGTAGAGGGGATATGTAGAGGGGATATGTAGAGGGGATATGTAGAGGGGATATGTAGATGGGATATGTAGAGGGGATATGTAGAGGGGATATGTAGAGGGGATATGTAGATGGGATATGTAGAGGGGATATGTAGAGGGGATATGTAGATGGGATATGTAGAGGGGATATGTAGAGGGGATATGTAGAGGGGATATGAGAGGGGATATGTAGAGGGGATATGTAGAGGGGATATGTAGAGGGGATATGTAGAGGGGATATGTAGATGGGATATGTAGAGGGGATATGAGAGGGGATATGTAGAGGGGATATGTAGAGGGGATATGTAGAGGGGATAAAAATTATCGAGTTTTATTAAGAAATAATTATTGACGTTAACAGAGAGAGGTATTTATCAATCATAGAGAGAGAAAGACAGACAGATAAATTTAATTTATTGCCTAGCTTGACAAAAATTTAAATGTATGGATGTTTAAATAATGTTTTGAAAAACAATTTTTTGTTTAAAGGTTCTTTTTTGTTAGATTCCGGTTATAGGATCTGTGGAGCCGCTAAATTTCGCAAAATGATTTTTTAAACCAGTTTCTTAGTCAGAAGCTTTAAACAAGAGTATAAAATATGTCCTGTAAAGTATTACAGGACATATTGCTTGATAAAGATTAGAATGTTTCTGGAACTGCGGGTCTAAACGTTGTATATAGCTACAAATTATTATATATAAAATTAAAGATTACAAATGGATGTTTGAAAAACTAATTTTCAAAAATATTACTGATAATATTTTTTCTTAACTAAATTTCTGCCACTGTATATATTTGGAAAGGGTAGTACATATGTATTGGTTATCAGTTTATCTAATTTTAAACAATTCTAGGTTTTTAATTAACAAGTTAAAAATTTTTTCTTGAATAGATTTGCTTGATAAAATGTCTAAATTAAATTAGAAAAATAACAAAAATATAAAAAATGTAAAATAAATTGCTCAACTTTTTAATAATTTGTTTAATAATTTAATAATTGTGGAAATAGTATTGTGGAAACGAAAATGGAAATATTTATCTTCTAGACATTGGGCGCCTTATTTGTCAGATCGAGAGTCTTTTTAGAAATTATCAAGAATATGGTATTATCATTTCCTATAATCCATAATGGAGTTTTTAATGTTTTTTAAATTAAATGTTGACTAATTTCAAGAAAAATTTTTTATTTTCAGATTGACAGAAAATCCGATTTCACAAATTAAGCTTGTTCCTAATTTCGACATTTGACTAGGTTCTAACTTTCAATTTCCACACAACATCTGTCTTTGTGGGGGGGGGGGGTTATAGCGGCCCTACTCTTTTATAATTTCACAATTAAAAGTCTAACTATTGACAAATCAAAAATATGCCCTTTTAATGCCGAATAAATAAATTTTTAAAGAGTCTATAAATAATTAAACACCTGATAAAATAGAGGTTGTGTTTTGATGAGGATTAAAGTAAAAAAATACATGTGAAAAATGGCGGCTAATTTTACTTTGATATTTAACGCTCCGACAAATGAGTAGATTCATTTAAATATTTTTCTGAAAAATTTTCTTCTCCTCTAAATTGTAAAATAATTTTTAATTTGAAAATGAATATTTTTGTTTTATTTTTTCTTTTATTTTATCATTTTATTTATAAATTAAAAATTGTTAATGGAATGGAAGATTATCTGATAGGTAAGTTTTATAAAAATTTGAAATTTTTATTAAATACCGTATTTATTCTAATAGTACTACAGTGGTTCTATTTTTCAACCCTTCGATTTTTGTGGTTATATTAGAGACTGTGGTTCAAATAGAGACTGTGGCTTTATTTTTCAATCTTTTTTTTTGAAAAATAGGAAAAATATTGAGAATTTCTTGTCATATTCTCCAAAAATAATTATAATTTTTAATCAATTTGGTGGTTTCTCGACTTCAAAATTCTCTAGATTTTCGAGTGCGGCGCCAGATTTAACAAAAATGTCGATTTTCTATAATAAGATCTAACCCTCAACTCGGTTTCCTAGTAAGAGAACCTAGGAAATTTACCAAGAACTTCTACCTCGTTGTTATATTAAAGTTTTGGAATGGAGGCATTATAAGGGATATAGAAGGATTTGAAAGGATATCGATGGATTTAGAACAATTAGAGTTGATACACTGGTATAGCAAGAGAATTGGATTCCTATTAATTATGGAAAAATTCACAACCTCTTAATTCATCTTAATCATTCTCAATCCCCCAAATCCTCGTATTGACCAAATTCTCCTCATCGTCTTAGTCCTCCCAAATCTTTCTATATTTCCTCATAATCCACATTATCTCATTTTCCTCATAATCCCCCGACACTTTAGCTCTCATAAATTCTCCTACTGAATATGCCATGGGCTTTCCTGGATTTGCTAAGGTTAACGAGAATTATAGTACTTATTTAAGAGTATGAGAGATATGTGGTTATATTAGAGACTGTGGTTGTATTTTTCAACTCCTCCATTTGATGTGGTTATATTAGAGACCGTGGTTCAAATAGAGACGTAGTACTATTAGAATAAATACGGTATGTATTAAATGAATTAAACGAAAAAGTCTACCGTCAACATATTAAAATGTTTCTGTGAACCATTCGTAGATATAACTGACCCAAGTCCAGCAAGGGTTTCAGACTCTCATACAGTGAGAATTGGTCTATAATCTTTAAAATTTGCTTGAGATTAACCTTTCGAAAATGGATTTTGAAGATGGAAGAGTTTTGAAAATAGCAAGAGAAAATAAATAAGAAAATTTTAAAACATTGTTTACCTTAACATTCGTTATGAAAAATTTTTTACTAACAGAAGTAGAAATTGGATTTCTATCTTATTCAGCTTGAGTGGATATATGTACATATATCTCCACGAATAAAGAGATATTTGAGAGTTAAAAGTTTAATTATTTTAAGAACAACTTGGTGCTGCTGCCCTGCCTCAACATGGTTCTGAAAGCTCATCTTCCAACTCATCATCATCATCGGGCAACGGAAACCCGATTGGGGAAATAAAATTTTCTCTTGTGGAATTATCTTTTCTGATTCGAATTTTGAGAGAACTTGATCCTGATTATTTAATAGAGAATGCTTATAATCATCCTTTTCATGAAGTCATAATGATGACTGGAAGTATGATTTTGAGTAAATTGGGAATAAATAACTTGGAGGACGATTATTTGATTAAAAGCACTTATGGAAAGGTTTTAGAGGTATTAGAAAAATTTTTATGTTCACAAAGACTTTCTCCAACAAGAATGTTTTCCTTCTATTGAAAAATGTGTTTTGAATTATTCTCTATAAACAGAATATAACCAACTTTTTAATAAAAAATCTCATAGGGGATTAAGACATCCCCTAAAAAATAAATAAATCACAGTTAGCCCTCCAATCTACTGATATAACCAAGCCATTGTTATCCTTGATCTATTTTACTCGAAAATTTTTATGTGAAAATCCATTTATCTTTGCGGGAGTTTATCACTTATTTACCGTATTTATTCTAATAGAATGGCCGCCATTCTATTTTTCGATACCCCCAAAAAGGGGCCATTCTATTAGAATAAATACGGTATATTATTAAATTGGGTTATCCTTTGTTTGGGCAACTTTTAATTGAGTCATTTTCTGAAAATGTCCCATCTCAGTTCGGGATAATTAAAGATAATCTATGTATATTCTTACTTAATACTATTCTTATATTCTTTTATTGGAGAAAAAATTTTAATTTTAGATTTCAAACTTTTATCATTCAATGTT